TAATGGACAGACAACAGTACAGTAACCAGCACTGATCGAAGGCACTGATCAAGACCGTCAATTCAGTCTGAGTGGCAAATCTGTGTCGGAGAGAAGAAAGCAAAAGTGTACAGCACTAGTGTGACCAGTGCTAGTGCACTAGTGTAGGGTGCTGGCAGTTCAGTTTCAGCAGCAACAGCAGCAGCAGCTACAGCCCAATAATAATCATTGGCAGTGAGTCGTGACGCTGTGCACTAGGCGCCGCATCAATTCTTCAATTACCGCCGTCACCAGCAACTGAAACAGTAACAGACAATTTGTGTTGCCCTGTTGCCTGTTGTGTGTATCATTTGACATTTCAAGCATCAGCAGCAACCGTCGCAGCAGCGACAGCAACGGTGGCGAGTGAGCCCAGCTGTCACTTGATGCAGCCTGTTTGCACCAGCACCAGCACTAGCACCAAAATCATCACCACCACCACCACCATCATCCTAATCGTTTCAGCGTTCACTGTGTGAAATCACCGTTCCCCAGTGTCTCGACCACGTCACCACCACCACCACCAACACTGAGAAAACAGAGCAAGTACTTGAAAGGCACTGAATTTGAGACATATAAAAAGGTGTCTGAACTAAGCCGCCGCCGAGTCTGCCGGAAGATGCCTTGGAAGTGCACAGTGTGCGTGTGCACTTGATACACACGACCGTCAAGGAAAGAGAAAGTGTGAGTCTCCAAACCGCCAGTGAGAAGATCTGTTACACATTTTTATGTCATTGTAGTCTATAGTTCAACTGTAGTCAGCATTAGTGTTCTACTTCTTTCGGCATTGTTTCAAAAATTTTTTCCTGCATAATTTTAACCAGTGTTTGTTTTGTGTAAATGTGCAATTTTATATTGGTTTTTACAATCATCATCTACACCTAACTTTATCATCATTTCCATTTCAACACGAAAAAGTCTCTGATCATTATCAAACTTCATCTTTACTCATTTTATTTCAGGTAATTTTAACAAATAAACGGACAGCTTGAAATGAGCATCAGCATTACACTAGAAACTACTGTGGCAGTACTTGCAGCGACCCAGACTTTTGGGTAAACACACACACGCAAAGTAAGCTAACAAAAGGGGTCAAAAACCGGTTCACCGGTGATGCTGCCAATTGTCCTTTTAGTTTAGCTTTGTTTCACTTTTGCTGTCGGCTTTTGCTCGGCATGCTCGGCTCAGCCTGTGGTATGCCGCTACTCATCACCACCGCCACCACCATCACCGGCTCTTGATGTGTCACCTCTGGCCACCAGCAAGCACTTTACTCTCACTCTCTTTCTCTCTCTCTCTCTCTTTTTCTCTCTCTCTCTCTCTCCTGATGATAAAAAGTAGTAGTCGTTAGTGGACAGCTAGCCAGTCAGACACTACTGTTGATAAAAGGAGATCAGAGATGCAGTAGTTGCTGTAGCTGTGGAGGTGATGCTGATGATGGGGATGGTTGTTCTGGTAACCACTATCATCGCCGTCTGCTCGCTTTTGATAGCTTTCTTCTTTCAGGTAGAGAGAGAGAGAGAGAGAAAAAAAAAGAGAGAGAAAGAGAGATGAATGGAATGAGAAACAATAAAACAAATGAGTGAGAAAGAAAGAAAGATGACAAAATAGCTGCTGCAGTAGCTCTCTTTGCTGGGGCACCTCGTGACCAGATGAGCTTTTGGAAATTGGTTGATGCTGCCATTAGCTCTGCTATTGATGCTGCTGCTGCGATGGTGCAACACATCAAATGGTGATTAAATGGGAGAGAGAGAGAGAGAGAGAGAGAGAGAGAGAGAGAGAGAGACTAAAACAGAAAAAATTGATGACACTGCTTTCACCTCTCCTTTGTCTGTTTGTTTCCCCTCAAGTGTACTAAAAGTGCTGCTGATCAGATTTATAATTTTTTAAATTATAAAATCAGATAATCAGTTGTTGTGGCAAAAACAAAAGAAAAATTAAAAAATAAAATAAAGATTTTTAATTTTTGTGTAGCTTTATAAACTTTTTGAACTTTTAAAACTTATAACAAAAATTTAAACACGTAGATTTAAGAAAATAAAAAATGATTGATATTTACTTAAATAAATTAAAATAGAGAAAACAGTGTTGCAGTAGCATTGCAACACACGCACATTCAAACAATTTCTTGAATCACTAAAGAAGGGTCCTTTTGGGGGTGATGGTGGTGATGGTGGTGATGGTGGTGATGGTGGTGATGGTGGTGGTCTGCTTGCCTCTTTGTTGACAAAACAGGCACACACTTGCCCACATGTTGCCGTTATGAGTAAGCGGCAAAACAGGCAGACGGCATACTTTGACAAACACGCTCCTTCCATTGGCAATTGCGGCAGTCAATGTGACTCAACACAAACGGCAGCAGCAACAACAGTGCAAACGTTTGCCTTTTGACCTTTTATCAATTTTCCCTGTGCTGCTTCTGCTTTTGCTGAGGAGCTGCTGCTGCTGATAAGGGTGGACATCACGTGAGCTCCCCAAAAGTGGTCTCTTTCTTACTCACTAACTTTGGTATCAGAGTGCAAAAGTTTAAGTCACTTGAGTCACTGTTTCAGCGCTGACGCAGGCACAACATTTTTTGCCTTTTGCAATGACCAATAGAGCCGGTAGAGCAGTTAGTCGTTATTTTTACCATTACTGCTATTTCTGCTGCTGCTTCTTTAACTGTGTTCCTGATGTTGCAGCAGCAGACTGTTTTCTTTTCAGTCAGTCAATCACGCAAAACAATTAACGGTGTTGCTGCTGTTGCTACTTCTGCTGAACACTCTGTGATGACTAAATGATCTTGGCTGTAGCAAGCTGCAACGCTGCAACACATCGCCAGCTGTAGCATTTCAGTTGTCATCGTTTGGCGATGTCGTCGACTGGTTGTTGCTGTTGCCGCACTACTTGTGGCTCAGTTACCATCATCACCATCACCATCATCATTGCCCGGCAAAAGCTTTCAATCGGTGGTGATGGCAGTAGTGGTGATGGTGGCAGCAGCAGCCCAACTAATTCAGATCCGACTACCACGACTACAAACATCTAACATCTGCAGCAGTGTTTTGGTGAGCTGGTGTGTGTGTTTGGTAGTGCAAGTGACATTGACATTGGCCACCAGCGTTTTCACTACTGTCACCTTCGTCACCACCATCACCGTTATTACTGATACTGATAAAAATGCGGTTCAATGCTGCCAAAGATCAGTCAGTAACGTAAGCTTTACTTCTTTTGTAAAATTTTTAGTTTCATTAAGTTACACGCAAATTTTAAACTTTTTATACATTTTTTATTACAATTTATGTGTTCGACTGCTGTGTGTTGTCATTGCAATGGTGGCGCCATTGCAACATTTGCCTGTCACCACTCTTTTTGCTTGCATTGTGTTTGAGAGAACAACCTGTGCCAGCCATTGTCAACCACTGACATTTACCGACGACGACGACTGCGATGTGACAATCATCGATGTGATTTGTGCAGTGATTGACTGTACAGCAGCCATCATCACCCCTATCACCCCCATCACCACCATTACCATCACACTACCACTGTTTACTGCAACTTGCTAACTAAACAAAACAGTTGCTACTACTGTTTCCGATGAGCCTCAAAGTGTACGTGTGCCAAATAAATGCTGTCCTCACCTTGATCACTGAACGGTGCATCTCTTTCTCTTTCTTTATCACCTCACGTTCCTATCCTCTTCGCAGTGGCCTACAAATAAAACAGGTGTCCAGCGGTGTTTGATGTGGGTTGATAAGTTTTTGTGCGTTACATGCAAAAATCTATGCTAGAACAATGGCTATGATAATGAACACATAGAGTGAACTAGTACTTGGTGTACGTGCCATTTAAATGAAAGCACAAAGTTATTGTTTATTAAATTTGAAAATAAAATATAAAGTTGCAATTAAAAAACAAAAAACAAAATAACTCTGCTGTTGATTCATATTTTTGCAATTTTCAGTTTGACATTGTTTTTCATTCAAACTAGCAATATCAAGCAACTTCAAATCCCTTTTAATTTATTTTACAATTATTTCATTGCAAATCGTGTTAGCCTGTCACTCATTGTTCGATCTAGAGGTGATGATTATAGCCAGCAAAGACAGGGATTGTGTGCCTCGTTTGGTCTTTCTCGTCTTTTGACTATCATCTGCCATTGTCTGTTTTTCCGTTTGTAGCCGCCGGTAGTCTGCCGCTTTTATCTTGCTTTAACCGTTTGTCTGTGAGGTCACAAGTTTTGGCTCATTTTAGTCAGTTTGCTTGTCTGCAACCAAACAAGCTTTGCACCAACCAAAAAGCGGCAAAATGGAAAATGATAGACACAAAGAACAAAACCTCGGTTAATTTTATCAATTAAAAATCAAAGTTTTTGTATTTTTGATAGCAGTCTCAGTTACACTTGCGTCGATTTTTCTCTCCATTTGTTCATTTCACCACTTATCACTACCACCGCACACATACACACAAAGGCAAACCTTTAGACACAAGCAATAGTGGCAGCAGCAGTGGCAGCATCAGTTTTATCAGTCTACTATTGTTCCATTCCTTTTAATTCTTTTTTGCAGCAATCAGATCAACAGCAACAGCCACCAGCAAAGCTGATAAAGCATAGTTTTGTGTGCGTGTGTGCATGACAAGTGCATTACAATTGCCAAAGCTTGCAGTTTCTGCTTGCGTTTTCCAAATTACAATTTGCATTGGCACCAAAAAAAGTGTCCATATAAGTGGTTGCAAAAATGGTTTCTGCTGAACTGTCAATTAGTTAGTTTGTGGAGGCGGCGGTGACACTTGGGCCACCAGTTATGAGACAATTCAGTTGTTTGAAATCCTGCATAATCTAGCACAATACCCCAGCTACATGATCTGACATTAATTTATCGTCTTTTTCTTTGTTTTTTTACAATTGCAGAAACTGATTTAAATCATAACTTCATCAGCTCTTCTTTTTGTGATCTTTCAGCACATAATACCAATCCACAACTTCAGCAGCTACAATCATGGCGACAATCAGCAGCATTAAAACGGAGGGCGAGGAAGGTGACACGATTGTGGTGATTCTGCAACAACCACCACCTTCACCATCAGCAATTGACGATAATGCTGGTGAAGAGGAAGAAAAGGTGTCAATCAAGGCGATGAATGGTGGTGGTGGACATGACCAGGAAAACCAGCCAAACAATTTTCTGCACTCATTACCTCAGTCCTCACCCTCACCTGAGGACTTTCTCAACAGTAGTTCTGGCAAAGATGATCATCACCAACATCTCATCCCAACATCTCCCGTCACTGTCAGCTGCAGTAGCAGCAGCAGCAGTAGCTCAGGTGGAAACAGTCCGACGACTCAGTCACTCACCAGCTCAAAAGTGATTGCCAACAACAAAAAAGACAACATAGTTTCCTCATCCTCTTCTTCTGAGCCTAAATGGGAACTAGAATCGACTACAAACGATGACGGTGGCAATGAAAGTGGTGGTGGCACTGACAACAACAGCAACAACAACAGCAGCGAAACTGACCAGAACTGGCCAGCACCGAACAACAGCACACCCAATTACGCAATGTTCCCAGCCAACGATGGCCTTCCACTGGCGCTGCTCGACTCAATGATCAACGATGATGGCACCTTTCCAACGTTGGGTGGCCTCTTTGATGACTTTGACCGACTTCTCAGCGAGGGCTCGAGTGGTAATGGCAATGGCACCGACAACAACAATCACCATGCAATGGAGCTCAGCCCCGATGATCTCAGTACCGGTGAGGCCATTTTTGAGGAGGAGGCGGCAGCTGCGGCCTTCTTCAACAACTACCACCCAGCAACGACCACTGTAGTTGCAAAAACTAATGACCGCAACCGAGGAGCAAACAGTAAATCTCACGCCCATGCTCGAAAGCCCTCATCTTCCTTCTCAAGGCTGCTATCTGATCAGGAGGAAAACAGCAGCTTTCTCAACAACGATCTTCTCATATGGCCGCCGACGGCCACCGCGTCATCCTCTTCTCAATCGCCCACCTCTGCCTCTTTGTCACCATTTAGTCATCACTACGGGAACAACGTTGATTTTCCCGATGACATCAGCATGTTGTTAGATCTGGAGGGTGAAGCCAATGGCGGCGGCGGCGACCTGTCACCCTTTTCATCAGCAGCTAAAAACAACGGCTTTTGGTCGTCATTATCAGGAGGGGAAGCTTATGAAACTTCTAGCCAGAGCAGCAACAAGCTAGCGTACAGTGAGTATAAAACTTTACTTTTCTATTGATAATTTGATTGACTAACAAATAAACTTTTTTTTCTCAGATGATTCAATGCTTTTGGGATCGACATCAAACAATGGGAGCTATCAGTCATCAAAAGCCAATTGGTCTTCATCTTCGGCTGCCTACCCGTTGTACTCGCTGGACTACGACTACGAATGGTCACAACAACAGCAAAATTTGTCTGCACTGAGTACTGAAAGCAGTAAAGGAGGTCCGTTGGCCACTGGATATTATGGAAATGGTAGTGGTGGTAGTAGTAGTGGTTCACTCAACAGTGTGTGTTATGATGGATTGGCTTCGGGTTGCAATCACCCCCACCATCGCCAACACCACAACAGCAGCCACTGGTCAGTGGACAGTGGCAGTCTTCTGTCGCGCACTTCTTCTTCCACTTCCTCCTCAACTTCTTCATCTCAACTCTCAAGTTTTGGCTCGTTGATGACTGCCTCCAGAGCAGCAGCTCAGCTTCAAAACGGAAGTGGGAACTCGTCCTGTTTTGGCGATCAGCTATCAAGTTCTTTTGATGGAAGCAGTTCTGACTTGTTGTTTGGGCGAAGCACCTCCGTGGACTGGTCAGCTCTTTCTCCAGGCGGAGGCAGCAGCAACAGCGGTAGCAGTCATTCAGCCGCCTACCTTAGCAGCCTATCTTCGTCGCCGAAAGCTGATCCCCACCACCACTATCTCAGCCATCACCCTCATCACCCTCAGAACTTCCATCACCACCACCACCTGCACACTCACCAGCACTACCACCAGGAGGCACAGCAGCAGCACAACCATCAGCACCCCTTTTTGAACAGCCCAGGGTCGTACTCTAGCAATATTACACGACAAAAGTACTTTCTTGAAGAGGAGGGCCACTACGACCCGTTGCTTTCAGAAACTAGCTACCAGCCTTCAATTGGGAACTACCACCACCACCAAAACAGCAGTAATGGAGTTCATTATGATAACAGCTCTCAGATGAGCCTGGATCATGGCGCCCATTCGCCGATTGGTCTTCTCGAGGAAATAAACCGGGCCTCTGATTTGGCTGTCCACAACAGCAGTTCCTTCGACCTGCTTGGATCATCGTCGTCGTCTTCTTCTAGTCCACTTAGATCTTCGTCGACTTCTGCAGCCAGCACCATTAATGGCTGGGCAGCTGGTTCAAGAGCCCTGACAGGAGGAGGTAACCAAAAGTCAGCCAAACAAGGATCAGCAGCTGCTACCACAGCGAGAAGAGTCGGGCGACCACCAAAGTCGACCAAAACAACGGTCGTCAATGCTGATGGTACCACCACCAGGACTACTACCACTTATCGACGTCGGGCGAACAACACTGGCGTCGCTAAAGCACCAGGAGCAGCAAACTCTACCAAATCTCCAACAAAAACCAACAAGCAGTCCTCCGTCAGTTCTGCCGATCAACTGTTGTCAGCATCAACATCAACAGCTACTAGTTCTGCCACTTCAGAAGCTTCCTCTAGCGATCTTTTCAGTGGCAAAACTGCTGATCTGAACTCCTCTACTGTCAACAACTCTGCTAATCTTCCAAACTCTGCCGCTGTTGCCAACGGTGATAGCAAAAGTTTCCTCTGCACGTACGAGGGCTGCGATAAGATCTACTCCAAGTCATCTCACTTGAAGGCTCACCTTCGGCGTCACACCGGCGAGAAACCGTTCGCTTGTCACTGGCCCGGCTGCGCCTGGCGTTTCAGTCGCTCCGATGAGCTGTCTCGCCACCGACGGTCGCACACCAACGACAAACCCTACGAGTGTCCCATCTGCCACAAACGCTTCAGTCGGTCCGACCACCTGAACAAGCACCTCAAAGTGCACCGGAAGGACTTCCCCGAGAGCAAGTTCAACTTTAACTTCTACATGCGCCGAGGACGAGTGGGACGACGGCCCAAGTCAGTTAGCTACCTCAATCAGGAGGTGATGCAGGAGCAGCAGCGGCAGATTGAGTGTCAGCTGGCGGCCGTTCAGCGGGAGCTGGCCGCCAAACAGCAACAAGAGGCGGCAGAGGCAGAAGCGGCGGAAGAGGAGTCACAGCAGAAGAATCAGCAGAAAAAGTTCACTAGTGGAAATTCAACTTCAAAACTGCAGGAAGTTAAAAAGGAGGAAGGAAGTCGAGGAGTTCAGTTTTCTACCCCTGCCTGTTCGAATAAACAGCAGCCAATCAAAGTGGTGGCGCTTGAAGCTTCAAGTGGCGCTGCTAAAAATGGCATCAAACTGCTTTCTAGTGAGGCGATCAAGGAGGAAAAGGAGGAGAACAGGAAAACTGTTGGAGATGAAACAGGTGAAAAGTCTAGCAAAAACAGTGGAGTTGTGTTGACAGTCGCCGCCTCCGCCTATTCTCCTTTTTCCAGAAAAATATCAATTACTAGCAGCAACAACGGTGGTGGAACTGCCGTAATTCCTGTCAAAACATCGTCTGCCACCTTAAAGATGATCAGCAGCCAGCCACTACAGCCGTTGAAGATTCCCAAAAACGCCACCATCAACATTATCAGCAAAGTGGCGGCTGGAACCATCATTAAGCATCAGAAAAAGGCAGCTATCTCAACTGAGTCCTCTTCTTCTTCTTCCCCTCAGCATTCTGTTTTACCTGTTTTGGATGGTCATCACAACTACTCAGCAACATTGCCAGTGTCAGCAACAACAGCAGCAGCAACTTTGGTCACTGTTTGAAACAGCACAGCATCTTATGCTAAACAGCTAAACATCTTTAAAAATTATTTTCAATTTTTTCTTCCTCTAGTCGTAATTGTCGCAGAGTTGAACAGTTTATTACACAAAAATTTTCACAATTTTTGATTATTTTATTTTAAAATGAATCCTTTCACATGTTTGTTGCCAAAACTTTTTGAATCTTCACATTTTTATTTTGTTTTTATATTTATTGTAATTTTTCATTTTATTTTTTTATCAAGTTCACTTAATTTTAATATCTCAACAGCAGTAATCCTGAACTACTGAACACGTACATTTTAACTGTCTAGAAAAAAATTGTAAACTTTATTTGTTCACTTTTTTTATTTATTTAAAACTTTTTGTCATTTTTTGATACTATCAACACACCAGCACACCACTTGTTTATTTGCACCGTTTGTTATTACAATTTTTATTTATTATTTTTACAACAACTTATTATATTTATTACAACTTTGTTTATTTATTTATCATTTCCATTTTTATAAAATTTACACAAAATCATCTTGTAAAAAAGAGCTCTAACTATAAAAATTTAAACACGATAATAAAAAAAATACACAATTGTAGAAAAAAACATTTTTCAATCTGTGCCAATAGGCACCGCCACTGATGCAGTAGTAATCACAATAAAATATTTGCGAGTCAATTACAAAAAACTAGATCAAACAAACTTAGACCGACTTAAACCGTCGAGAGAGAAGTGCAAACTAATTTGTCACAATTGTAAGTATCCTTAATTTGAGCATCCTATACTTATTTTTTTCTACTTTTTTTCCGCCATGAAATAGCTTACATCAGTCACAGCTATTACTACAACTTTGTCCTTGACTTGCAAAGCGCCCTTGGCAGCAGTGAAACAGCACAAATAGTCTGGTGTGCTTTGATCAGTATTAGTAAAATCTAAAACAAAATATTGAGAGTGAAAAACCGAAGTTTTACGTTTTCTGCAAACTTTCTGCCAAGTACTACGAAGTATCGGTAACTGTCTTTCCTTCCTCTTTTTTTTCTTGCCTATGAGAGAAAGCCTATGTGTGCATTGCCTATTTCTCTACTTTGCTCTACCGATACATTTCTCTATCTCTCTCCTTTTCAACACCACCACTTCAGCACTGCTTGTGACCGTTTGAAATTTTCTGGAACAACAGCAGCATTTTTATTGCGCGCTATATCGCTGCACACTTTTTTTGAGTGCCAAATGCTCAGAGTTTGAGTATGCCAGTAAAAAGAAGAGAAGAAAAGGAAAGGGAAAAGGCGAGTAAAAAGAGCGAAATAAGAGTCGGACAGAGACAACTTCAATTTTCTCTGTCTGTCTGTCTAGTCTGGCTTTTGCGTCCAATTTTTTGCTTTTAATTTTTCACTCTCTCACTCACTCACTCACTTTCTCTTTTCAGTGAAAGATTATTTTTCTGCGTCTTAGCTGCTGCTGCTGCCGCCGCAGCATATTTGCCCAGCTCACTCACACGTTCACTCAGTCACTCGTTGGCACGTTTTGCGCACGCCACTGTGCGCCATTGTGAAGGAAGAAGCCAGGCAGACAGTCAAACAACAGCAGCAGCAGCAGCTAACGTCCAACGGTGGTGAAAGCGGTTGTGGTCAGTGCGTGTGACACCAACACCAACAACAACGCAGGTCAACGCGAGAGTGACTACCGAATTCCTCAATCAAATAGACGTAAGTTGTTTAATTCTGTTTTTCAGTGATTGCATCTGTCCCCACAACCACAACCACAGCAACAACTTTAGTCAACCAAGTATTACAGTTTTTTTCGGGTGTTCCCTTAACAAAACGAGAACTGCAGAATTGCGCATTGCAGTCTCTTTCTGCTGATCAGCAGATGATCACTAAATGATCGTTGTTTAGATGTGTGTGTAGATAATGATCGCTGATCGCAGATGAGTAGGCAGGAAAGGATTGACTGAACTGAACGGGGCATCTGTTTCACTTTCTCTCTCTCTCTCCTTTTCCAACACTGAGAACGACTAAAATCGTGCTAATAAGAGCAACAACAGCAGCAGCCACGGCAAACAAAACGTTTGTACAACGTCACAGCAGCAGCACTTTGCCCTTCCTTTCCCTTTCATCCTAATCATACTACTACAAGCAAAATTGAGCTGGTTAGCAAAACATCACGACCAATTAAACGTAGTGACTAGCTTAGTGATTGCTATTTTTCTGGTTGTAGTTGCACTGATTGTCCTTAACCCAAGTTTAGCCTGTTTTCATTCACTCATTTATTCTTTCAACTTTTACTTTCTCTTGTTTCACACTGTCCTACACACAGGCGCTTGTTGTGGCGTTAACGGCGTTCACTAGCTCAAATTTTGCCTGTCAAGCAGCAGGGCAAGGAAAAGTTCCTGCACTGCCAAAGCTTATCATCACACACAATTAAATCAAATTTTCTTCACCCTTTTTAGCTCAATTCACTCAATTTCATAATCATCATTATATCTTGCTTTTCCATCTGATCTCTTTCCATCAAAACCATGACCACGCCGGCTAAACGACGCCTGATGCGCGACTTTAAACTGTAAGAATGACCGATTTTACAATTTACACTTGCTAATAATTATTTCCCTTTTCTCTCTAGGATCCAAGACGATCCGCCGCCGGGCATCAGCGCCGCTCCCAAGGAGTCCAACATCATGCACTGGAATGCGGTCATCTTTGGGTAAGTGTAATATAAGTTTTCACTATTCACTGTGTTAAACCCAAACGCATTTGTTTATAATCATAACATGATCATTAACTTTTATCCATTTTCTCCATTCATATCAGCCCGACGGACACTCCATTCGAGGATGGCACTTTCCATCTGATGCTCACCTTCAGCGAGGACTACCCGAACAAGCCACCGATAGTCAAGTTTGTTTCCAAGATGTTTCACCCAAATGGTAAGAGTATGCTTACTTAACAACACTCCAATAACATCATATCCTTTCTCTTAATCAGTGTACAACGACGGCAGCATCTGCCTGGACATTCTGCAGGCTCGCTGGAGTCCGACGTACGACGTGGCCGCCATTCTCACCTCCATTCAGTCGCTCCTCGACGAGCCGAACCCCAATTCACCTGCTAATGCAACCGCCGCCCAGCTGTACACTGAAAATCGCAACGAGTACATTAAGCGCGTCATGGCCACCGTTGAGCAGAGCTGGGCCCAGTTTCCCGAGAGTGATCCCGAGGAGCAGAGCAAGGAGGCTCCGCCGAGCAGCAGCAGCAACAACAGTGATGGCAACAGTGGTGGCACTTAAAATGGTCCACACAATTCTGCAACTTATCATTCAGAAAAAGAACATTCCCGAGGTTAGAGTGAAAGTTCATCAGTGTCATCACCGCCAGTTAATCCAGCCATTAGCTCTTGATGACGTTTTCATTCCCTTTATTTGTCTTCTTTTTTTACTTTTTGTTTTGCAATCTCCAACTCACCGACTCAACACACACTCAAACTCAGTTTTCGTTTTATTCTTTTTAAATTTCTTAAACTCCTAAACTTTTCCAATTTGATGCGTTTTGTTTTTGTCAACATCACCACCACCACTGCAACCACAGCAACGTCTGATGATTATCTGTATTTCCGATGGACTTGTTTGTTTGCCTGTTTGTTTAATGTTATGGAATGCGTGTATGAGAGACTTTTGTGATACCTCCATTTTACATCCACCAAACATTCACACATACACACACACCTTGATACAAACCTCAATACACACCAACAAGAGATGTTTTGCCAAAACATTTCAGTTTCTCATGATCAGTCATTGAAGTGTTTCAGGCAAACATTTTTCAAGTATTCTATCATTTAGTTTCGTAAATTCATTTTCACATACACACATTTGCTCTAATCATTTTTAAGTTTAACTAGATTTTATTGTTTTTCCCATTTTGTCTACCAAATACATGCTACAAGATTAGTTATTTTTATGATTTTTAATTGTATTTATTTATTTAATCACATTAAGTTTCCTACACTAAAAACGTTTTTTTATTATTGACGTTGATGTTACATTTTCTTTCTGATTAATTTATTCGATTCAAGAAATAAAAATTAGCAAAATGAAATTTAAAATTGATTAAAGTTTTTGAGCTAATAAATGCATTAGATTAATTTTCAAGTTGAACTTTTTAAAATTGCAGTTTATTTTTTAACTCTGTTAAAACTGTGGTGCCAGCCAAAGTTGACGTTCACTCACGTTCAACCAACGTTGACCCAACGTACATTTGCACACACACATGTCACATTCACACACATCACAAGAAACCTCACCGTTAGCTCATCTGCAACATTGGTGAGCCGGACACTCGCAACCTGGAGTCATCATCACCAGCCAAGCCAACACCAACTCTATGCACCCGAGTGGAGCACAGGACAAGAAGGAGATTACCGCCCTGAAGAAAAGGCCAACCAGATCGGCACACAGAAAGTTTCACATTTTCAGCGGCAGCATCATCACCACCACCAACAAGCATTGCATCATGGCACCACCAGCACCAGCTCAGATCATCTTTCTTAAGGTGCACAAGTTCATCCCTCATGCATTGCTCGACTTGATCATCACAAAACACAAAGCGCCTGTTGATTCGGAACAACACCACCAGCATCCAATCCTTTGTCAACACCAGTTCCGAGGTCAACATCGTCCCGGCATCACCTAAAACAGCAGCGCTCCTCAACCGATCTCCAGATCAACGCCGCCAATGGCAACATCATCAACAAAAGGCGATCGCACTCACCCTCAACCATAACCTGAGACGTTCTCATCCTCGCAAACACCGCGCATACCAGCTTCGGAGCGGATTTTTGGTTCCACTTCGAGGTTGCACCACGTTTCAGCAAAAACTACCTGCTGGCCACATGTCTGTAGCACTACCTGAACACGCCAGCGTTTCAACCGACTTTGTTACTAACTCAAGGTATACCTATCCAAAGTCAACTTATCAACAGCGGCCAGTCAGCAACACATCGAGTACATCCCCGCCAGTCTGAAGAAGTCCACATGTCTACCTTCGGACTGACGCGACTTGCACACCATTTTAACGACCACACACTGGTCCAAGATCATCACCTTCAACAAAGCAATCTTCTTCCCAAGAGGGGGAAGCATGTGGCGCCAGCCACAGTTGACGTTCACTCACGTTCAACCAACGTTGACCCAACGTACATTTGCACACACACACCACATCTCATTCATGTCACACACATCACATCACAGTTCACTCTTGTCATCATGCACACGACGGTACTTAAGACCTACGGTACGTAGCACACAGACGACGAGAACAGTCAGTCTTTACATTCACCAGACTCCCTTACACTGTTACTCCGTCCACCACTCACTCTCTCTCTCTCTCCTTCCCAGTGACTCCCCATCATCTCCACAATAATTACCGATAGCTCATCCGCTACAAAACAATGATTAGTTTTTAACGGTTGGTTTACAAAATAGACGATTGCAAAATAACAATAACAGGTAAATATTGTGTTAAAGTTTTAAAATGAACAAAAAGATAGAAGTTTTAGCATAACAAAATAAAAAACATCATACCCAAAAGCATTAAAGTTATAAACAATTAAAGAAAAATTTTTTTGTGTAATTAAAAAACAAATTGCTGTTTTTGATAGGTTTGTCACCGAGATTAGCCAATAAAAAACAACAGAGAAGCGACATTTTAAAGCACCTCCAAATCAACATGACGTACTTGAGGATGTTTTTGCTTGTAGTGAAAGATACAAAAAACATTATTAGTCTGGCTTCCAAAATACTAAAGCAAGCACCCACCTTCAACTCCGTTTCAATGCGATCCACCTCAGCGCCGAGCAGGTCAACAATATTCTCGCCGTGCTTCAGCATAAACTCCTCACATTCCTCAATCGTCTTCACGTCCTTGAACTCGGCAAAAAGCGCCTCCAGGTCAATGGAGTTCAGGTAATTGTTGGCCAGTTTGCGACCGTCAAAGTCAACTTCAGCTAAAACGGAGCAAATGAAATGATTTGATAAGTTTCATTAGAACATTTTATCAACAACTCTAGTAGTACCCTTGTAGCGAATGACATCATTGCCCATGTCAGTGGCCTTCACGTCGTGAATTGCCCGAACCATGCCGTCCGACTCGAGCATGCGATTGATGACCGCCATCCGGTCGGGGGGAATGGACCGGCCGAGGAGGGCGTTAGAGTTGGTGATGATGACGAAGGAGGCGACCAGGCCGAGGAGGCCGCCGATGAGCAGCGAGCCGATGGCGTCCGGCACCGGTGTGCCCAGCAGACTGGTGGCGCCCATGCAGGCGGCCGCGATCAGCACGCCGCTCACCGCCGCCGTGTCCTCGAGGATGACCACATTGAGGGTGGGGTCGTGGCCGCGCAGGACTGATAAGGAAAAGGCATAACACAGTGTCAATTTCAAATGTCATCAAAAAGTTTATCCTTTTACTGACTGTACTTTCGCAGAGAGACGCCCTTCTCGAGGGCCGCCTTCCTCGCGGCGGTGAGCGCAATCACTAGCGTGCCACCCTCGCTGATAAGCGACCCCAGGAGAATGAGGAAGGCCCAGGTGTACGGCTCTACCGCCGCCGCAGCCGTACCTTCCGCCCCGGCGCTCATCAGCCCATTAACGCCATGGTAGACGCTGAGACTGGTGCCCGTGCAGAAGATGGCCACGCCGCTGATCAGCGAGGCGATGTACCGCATTGGATGGTACCCGTAGGGGTGCTCCTTGTTGGGCACCTGCAGCGACTTGCGAATGCCATATGCCAGAATCAGCTGATTGCAGGTGTCGGCGAAGGAGTGCACCGTCTCGGCGAAGAGCGAATGCGAACCGGTGTACATCCAGGCGAAAAACTTCAGCACGCAGTTGGCGGCGTTTCTGAAAAATAAAAATCAAAAATTAAAATGTTGGTCACAAAGATGTTGGTAAAAGTTGGTTTGCTTTTCAGTGAACTGTATTACATTGTCACTGCGGCCATCACCACGCGAGCCGACTGTCGCAGTGCTTCTTCGCGTGTTTTTGCCTGCGGTGTGTTCAGCCGGCGGTAGTCCTTGTTGTACTTTTTGACGATCATTAGGCCTAAAAGTGTCAGTGCCCATGTTTATTAGAAAACCGTGTTTTCTATGTTTAAACCGGCGGCAGCCACTTACTTCCACTGTAATTGTCCTCTTTCTCCTTTCGACGCGCCAGTTCGGCGTTCAGGCGGTCCCAGCTCTTCCAAATGGAAAGAGCTCTAAATGAAAAGAGATTTCAGTTATTATATTCTTGTCAACACACACTCCTTTAACTAATTACCTCAACTCAACGTCCTTGCGCAGGTACACCGTCAGCGGCAGTTCATTGTTGTACGGGGATCGTCGCTGGAACTTTCGCAGATCACCCAGATCAGAGATGTCCAGTGCGTACTCGCGCATTGCCCGTGTCGTGGTGATGAAGTTGCGGTTCATGAAAAGCATCGTTTCAGTGGACAGCTGTTGTTGCGGGGAATGCTGCTGCAGTGGGCCATCTTTTTTGCCAAGCTTTGGTATGACTGAAAAAGGGTCACAGAGTGAAAGTGTGAATTGTCAGAATTGAAAGTGTTGCTATTCTAAAATAAAATCACTGGAATTACCGTGAATGTCATCAGGCAGCGGTTTTGCTTTCTTGCTAGACTTGGTAGTATTATCACCTGAAATAACAATTAAAACACAAAACTTTTAGTTTTAGTATACCCAATTTGAATAGCTGTTTCTTTCTGTATTACCTGTTTTAACCACTGCCGTCGTACTGGGTGGCAGTTTTGGCTTTGAGGCGCAGTTTGAACTGGTGAAAAGGTTTTGGCGGCGATGAAAGGCATTTGGCGGCAACAGCGGTGGCGGTACTTGAAGAACTGATTGATTGCGATGATTTGGTAAAGCAAAAGTACTGAACAGGTGATGATTGTGGCAGAGATGATAGTGATGAGGATGATGATGTTGAGTTAGGTGATCACAGTTGCTGAAGGCTAACATGTAAACGGAACAAAGTGAAGCAAAACTTTGAGTTTGATCTGAGTTGAGGCTGCTGTTGCGGCTGTTGTCGACAGGCAGTAAACGACACTGTCGTGTCACGGTGGCCGGTGACCGCAGCAAACGGCTCAAAAGCGACATGACAATCAAATTGGGCTCAGTTTTTACTAATATAATGTGATGCTGTTTAGGTGTTTAGATCACATCTCTAAGAATACAAACATGCTGAATTAAGGCACCGGTAAGGGCGACAGCAGCAGCAGCAAGCTGTCAGCCACATTGGCATTTCTGTTTTCTTCTTCTTGATTTCCACTTGACAACAACAGCTTCTCTTGAAGACTGCAGCACTTTTGCTGTTGCTGCTGCTGCTGTTGTACGGTAGTTGTATAACAGTCGTACAACAGCAGCAGCAGAAACCAGTGGGTGGCTAATCTATTTACTGAAGAAGGAAGGCGATGCTGCAGCATCTGTGCTGCAGCAGTGTGAAGGTGGCACAGGCAGAGAAAAGCAGTGTCAACAAATAGTGCAGGCGGCGGACGCCTGTTGTAAATGCAAGCTGCTTGTGTGCAAACGGTGGCAAAGTACGGGCAGTTTTTTGCACAATACAATTTCTCAAAAGTACAAATCTACAACATTTTCATTAGCTAGAGTCGCTTCAGTGCAGCAGTTTTGGTCATTTGTACTTTTGGTGAAATATACTTGTTTTTATCGAGTGTAAACATAAACCGCTGTTGCCAGGTCGTTTAAGTGCTTCTTCTTCTTCTTCTTCAGCGGCAGCCAAGAAAACTGGTTTGTCTGGCTGCTCTTATTAACATGTCTTAATTTTCTTTTGCTTTCTTAATACTTTGTTCACTCGCTGGCTGACTGATCAGTGTAATAGCCACCGTCATTAGCAGGGCCAACGATGAACAGCCAATGTTGATGGCGCCGACGTAGCGACTGTCACTTTTTTCCCAAACTGTACGCAGGGCTGAAGCAGCAGAACAAGCGACAGACAACTGTACCACTGTACAACTCTGAAAAAAGTGTCGTGCAAGCTGATGCTACAGAGTAACTGTCGTACACCACCAGTTTAGCGGTAAGCAATCTACCCACCTTATCGATTATCACCACAACGTTTTAACTTTCTTTATTTCGGTGACTCAAGCGTCGTCGTCGTCGATGTCTTCAGCACAAGTACACACACACGCTACTTCTTCACACGTGTGTGTCTGCTGATCAAAAAAATAGGAACAATCATCGTTCAAAGCAAAATGAGCTTGTGGCAGAAAAATTGATGCAGCTGCTTTTACTGTCCTCTGAACTGAATGCTCAGCTTAACTTGAAAGGCATTTTGTTGCTGTTTTCACTTTAACAATACCAAAGAACTTACCTCAAACTTCTCAATACTCATCATCACGAACTACTGGCACAACACATCAGCAAACATATCACTACAATGAGTTCCTTCTCAACGTCCAGCAGCAGCAGCAACTACAATAACGGCAACAGTTGTAATTACAACAAGGACTTATTAGTGAAAACTGGCGACCTGCAAATACCGACCAGCTACGGGCATCTGTCAGCCAAAACTTGGGGCACCGATGGCGAGGATCGGCTGCGAGTGCTCGCCGTACACGGTTGGCAGGTACTGCTTTACAAACACAAACAAATTGAGCACAAATCTAATGACGTTTCGCATTTGCAGGACAACGCAGGCACCTTCAACCGCCTCTTTCCCCTTCTCGATCACCTCAATCGCCTATATATCGTCGCCCTGGACTTGCCCGGTCACGGACGCAGCTCCCATCTGCCCAAGGGCGTCCCCTACACCGACATGACGTGGGTGATTGAACTGAAGCGGACGATCGACTACCTCGGCTGGAATGGATTGTCATCATCCTCCGCCTCATCCTCAGCCTCATCATTTTTAAACCAGCCCCAAACTCCGAAACTCCCTTTCCCCAAGAAAGGCGTCATCATCATCGCCCACTCAATGGGCGCCAATGCCGCCGTCGAGCTGGCCGCTCTCTACCCGCATCTGGTGCACACACTGATCATGCTGGATACTGTGAAGCTGCGCGTCTTTCCTACCGAAAACCTCGCCGCTGAGATGGGCCGCGCCATCGAGGTGTTCAGCAACCACGAGAAGAACACCGCCTTCCGCACCACCAAACCGATCCTTTTTGACCTGGAGCGAGCCCTTTCGGTGATCATCGAGACGCACGGCAATGGAAAGCTGACCAAAGATGCGGCCGTCTGTTTGATGGAGCGGGCGATGCAGTGGACCGGTCGACAGGCGGGCGGCGATGGAAAGCGAGGTTTTGCCTTTCTCAGAGATCCAAGGTAACACACAAAAAAGATCTATCTACTGCTCCTACGTCAAATCTAATGAAATTGTTTGTTTTGTTGTTTTGCAGGCTCATCTGTCCGGTGTACCGCAAATTTGACGCTCCCCAGCTGCTCAACTACCTCTCCAGCATACGGTGCCGTCTGTTGATTGTCCGCGCTCGGGACACCCATCCGATGCTTCGCTGTCCTCATGAGGATCAGTTTGTAGAGATGTACCGCGAGCACTGTGAGGAGTTTGCCTTTCAGGCGGTCGACGGAGATCACTACGTTCACCTGACTGAAGCGGCTAAGGTGGCACCCTACGTGAACGCCTTTCTCAGACAGCTTTTTGACTAACTCCTGAAATGGGCTAATTGAATGTAGGAAATAAAACAATCCGGTTTAAGCTTTTTGAATTGACATTTTTATTTATGTAAAGTGAGAAGTACAAAAATGGAAGAGAAGCTTGTGATCAGAAGTGACAGGCAAGTTGGATTAGGCTTTGGTATTGCAATGTAAGAATGACAAATCAAAATGTACTACCCCTACTAGCACCATCAGCAAGTACAAAAGTGAAGTACAAAATACCAAACCAAATGAGTGAATTAACATGAAAATGAAACTGCTTAAAAAAGTTTAAAATTGCCTGATGACGTAATAAGTTCTGTTGATGTAATGATGAGCCCGTCATTGCTGTGAGCTGCTGCTGCAGTTGTTGTTGTGGCCCACTAGTCAGCCCGATCCGTAGTAACCACTCGTACTGGAGACGTTCCCATTATCGTTGCAGTTGTTCTTCTTCCGCGAGACGGCAATGACGTCGTCATTCTCCACGCCGAGCATCTCCAGCGTCTGGTGGTCCTTGATGCGTCGTCCGTTGAAGCGAAACTCCATCAGGTGCGCCGGCACGCCCACCCACTGGCTGTAGCGCTCCTTCAGATTGCCGAAAGGCACAGTTCGGCACTCGTGAAAAACCGCCTGAGTGTTCTGGCGATCGTTAAAGTACACTATGTTGATGCTGTCTACCATTGCTGCTGATTGCAGTGTCCTTCCTTCTTTCTGTAGGTTTTAGGTTCTAGGTCTCAACCAAACGTAAGCGATGAGTTTCGAGTTGAAAATGAGCAAAATCCGCTGCTAGTTTGTTGTGTAGTGGTGGCGGTGGCGGCAGTGGTGGTCGGCGCTGTTTTAAACGGGTGAAATCAGAGCGCAGCCAGCAGGCAACGATATAGTCGAAAAGACTGCAAGGTTGCAAAGACTGGAGGAGCGCGAGAAAGAATGGAAAAATGAACAAGTGAGCAAACTAGAGAACGAGAGCGTGGTGAATGAACAGACGGAAAGAGGGTTAAAAATTTTGCTGGAATGCGTCTGAGGGTGTTGAGGGAAGAAGAAGAAGGCAACGATGGCAAAAGTGGAAGAGGCAAAGAGAGGGAAAGAGAAGGAAAGTGCATTGAGAATGGACCTTGAGTCTGTGTCTGAACTCTCTGTCTGTCTGGTGTGCACTGAGTTAATGAAATGGCCTTTACAGTAGGAAAAGCGTGCGCATCATTCGCCAGTTCGCCAGGCTGTCTGGCTGCATCTCTTCGCATCCCTTTTCATTTGCATATGCAAAATGCACAGATTTGTGAGTGCGAACAAGAGTCCAACTTGGTTGAAAATGGTCGTGCTTTGAATAGCCTGGCAGGGAAAAATGAACCAGATAAAAGAAGAAAAAGAGAGCATCGGGTGTCATCGGGTGTGTGTGTGTGTGTGTGTTTGGTCCATTTTGGACAACAATCACAGTTTGTTTTAATTGCTTAGAGAAGTTTAATGGACTGCCCTACCATTGTGACTGCACGTCTTAAACGTGATCCAAACATTTGTACACAAAAAACACGCTCCAAAGTTCAAACGGTATACTGCGCGCTACTAAAAACCCAGCAAAACTTGAACTAAATAAAAACTCATCCTGACTCAGTTTGTTGCTTTTAAATTCAGTCTATTTACAAGCAAATTTACAAGATCACCCAGTGCTTTGTGATCAAGAACTGCAGTTCAAGAATGGCCAAATGGCTTGGCAGTGTCGGTGTCGACACTTGTGAAAGCCTGCAGAGTGAAACTGAAGAAGTACGCAGTAAAAGAAAGAGAGAGAGAGAGAACGAAAGAGGGAAGGAGCTGGGACATTGCAGAGAGCAGACTGTAGACTGACAATTGGCTGACTGTAACTGCCGTTGCAGTTTGGTCGCTCAGTGGCAGTTGCTATGCGTCCCTGTCCCTTTCTTGTCCTTAGTGATTGCTGGTGGTGACTTGGCAGCCCTCCATTCAAATGAGAGAAAAGGCGGCAAACGGTGTGTGCTTGTGCCATACTGCTCAATGCAGCGCGCGCGTATTGGCGAACTGGCTAATTGAGCCAATGGCCATGGTTTTCCACCACTCTTTCAGGCATCTGTTAAGACGCATCGTTGATTAACAAATTATAAAAAATGATTTTTTTAAAATTTTAATTAAAAGATGCATTTAGAGAGTAAAAAATGGATTACAAAAATTAATATAAAGAATGAATAAATACATTTAAAAATAAAATGAAAAACAATTACAAATGGTAGTAAAATTAAACAGATGGGCAGTTTAAAACAAATAAAATGTGAACAGTGTTTTTATTAATTTTTTATTTTTGTTGTTTGGACATAAATGTTTACAAATAGTTATCAAAAATGAAAAATAATATGAAATTGTGTCAGTTTATTGAAAGAACAAATAGTGATGCCAAATTAAATTCAAAATGTTCATTATTTTTAGTTCTCCATTAAAAGATTCTGTAAAATAAAAACAAAACGATTAGTTATAATAATTATAAAAGATTAAAACTAGTAAATTTTATTTATATTTTAAAATTGCAATTTATCTGCACTAACTTTTAAACAATTAAGTTGATTTTTTATTAAAGTTTCTAGTAAACCTTTTTGTTATATTAAAACTCTTTATCAAGTATAAACATTTAACTTGTGTGTTAGCTAAGGGTTCCGACTCGTTATCCTTTCAATAGTGATAAACAAGTAAAAAAGACTTTATTTGCATCCACAAAGATAAGCATTTTTCCGTATCAGCAAAACTTGCGTTCAAAGTTAACTGAACCTTTTTGACATGTTTTTAGCATTAAATGATTAGTTTATTCACAATATTTTGCATTTATTTTAAATAGAAAGCCATTAAGTATAATTGACCAATTTACTCTAAATCTAGTTTACTAATAGGCGGCTGTTAACCAAAACGCATTTTTTTATTTATTTTACTTTAACTACCATTTTTCACATAAAACAAAACTTAAGCATATGTACCCAAACTAAAGCACTTCCGAATAGTAATAGCGCATTATTCTGACTCAAATAGTTTGCACAATATTTTGTTTGAGTTCCTAAATTTAATTTGAATTTCCAAATACCACAATTGGTTGCCTAATAATAAATTTTTCATTTAAACGTAGTTTAGTTTAAAAAAACTCTATTGAGGCCAATAAATTTATCAATTGATTAGTTTTGCTAGAGATAAAGTAATATTGCATTTTAAAGAAATCGATACCCATTTGAAAGTTGCACTTCATTTTGCTAGAAACCCGTTTGTTTTTGCTTAAGNCAAAAAACTCTATTGAGGCCAATAAATTTATCAATTGATTAGTTTTGCTAGAGATAAAGTAATATTGCATTTTAAAAAAATCGATACCCATTTGAAAGTTGCACTTCATTTTGCTAGAAACCCGTTTGTTTTTGCTTAAGTCGCATTTATCTGTGCAGGCAATTACTTTAGATGTCAATGCTAGAAAAACGGTAAAAATAAGCAAACGTAAAATGGTTGTGATAAGAAACTAATAAACGCAAAGTACCTACTCTATCTCGCATTTTCTTATACTTCAAAATCTTGAGCGATCACTTTTTTAGAAGTAGTGGCTCTGTTTTAGGTTGCCTGGAAACCAGTTTTCACAAGTTACCAGTGAAATGCACTTGAATATGATTAACTCACGCTGATGATGAGCAGAGTAACTTAAAGTAGTGTCTGACTAAAAAAGTGAAATGATAGATGCACTAGCTAAGATTATTAGCACAACCAAAACTCCTTTTCTCTAATAAAGATGCTGGCTAATGCACGCACATTTGTGTTGTCAAGCTGTTGTTTGCCAAAGCAAGTGACTGCTGTTTCTTGCTATTTTGCGGCAGCAACACTACTGTTACCGTTTGCACGTTTGAAAACAGCAGAGCACGTCTCTCCTTGACAAATAATCAAAAGAGGAAAGTGAACTACTTTTTGCTTATAAGCCAACTCTGCTTTCAGCAGTGTAAATGTGCCTTCACTTCACGCACACAGTGAGGGAAAGGTGTTGCAGAGAAGTGACATTTCAGAGTTTCACAGCAAAAAGGAAATCCGTTCTACCTAACGCTCTCTCTCTCTCTCTCTCTCTCTCTCTCTCTCTCTCTCTGACAAACTGTAAGAGTTCCATTTTCAAAACTCACGTCCTTGCCATCACCAAAAACTTTGACACGTACGATGTATCCTCCTGATGTTGTCCAAACTGTCCAAATTGTCAACTGCTGCTGCTGTTGTTGCTGACCAACAACAGTCAAAAACTTAAAAAGTTGAGCAGAGTTTTCAAAATGTTGTAAAACTTAAAATTGCCTAAAACTGGCCAAAATTTAAAATGATGATCCTGATAGCATTAGCGCCCTAACAGCAACAGCAGCAACAAAAATTAATTAGTTTTGCTAGCTAGACAAATTAACACAGTCAACTGCAGCAAAAGCAATAGCAACAGCACTTCAAAAAGGCATCTGCTGAAAAACTGAACAAATCAGATGTATGTGCATTGGTGAACTTTTAGAGAAAAGCTAAATGACACGCAAAGAATAAAAGGAGTGAAATTGAAAAAAAAACATCATTACAAAGTTTGAAAACATTACCCGGAAAAATGCAAACAGTGCGCACAAAGAGTATTTGCATAGGCGACAAAGATTGAACGGATGCATGAACCGTGCTAGCGAACAAATTTCCCACTAAAAACTGCTCACTGTTTGCTTCTTTTTCTTTTTCAACATCACTTTTCTGTCCACCAGACAAAGTAAACCACTTTTAATACCACCACTACCACTTTCACTTTCAAACTCTCAAGAGGACACTTCAAGTGTGAGCATATCTCCCAAAATCTCTTTTCATTCACTCCCAGTTTTTCTTTAAAAACATTTTAGACAGGCGCACACAACGCAAATTCAACTCAAATTTTTCCTTTCAACTGCTTCCCACTCAAGTGTGTTCACTGGAAAATGGATATTATTCTGCTGAGTGGTATTCACTTCAACATTGCCTCCGCCACTAATTTAATTATCTTGCCAAATTGA